CTCAGCCCCGGCCCCAGCCCCTTTGAGACCATCTATTCTAAATGACCACCACCTTCTGTGGCCATTTGACAGTAACCCACACTTTCTCAGAGTATGTTACTGCACTACACTACAATGACTTCTGCCAAAATAACATGTTTTGCAGCTTTCTCTGACATACTTTGGGAAATGTAGATTTCTCTTACTGCTTGGGGAAGGCCTTTGTAGCCTTCACTGCTACCTAATTCAGAACAAAATTAGGCGGTGACTCCATTATAATATGCTGTAATCAGCTACAGCTATTAAAATCATTTATTATCCAGGTGATGATGATTGAAGGCAGGTTGCTTTGTGATGGCTTACCTGTAAAGTAAATGACATGTTCTAAATAAAATTATTTAATATTCTTCTAATGAAAAAGAGCTATCATTTGTTAGGTACCAGGCTCTATGCTGAAGGTTTAACATACATTACATCATTTAGTCTTAATAACAGCAAGTCAAAGCAAATCCTGTTATCCCTATTCACAGAGGAAGTAAGTGAGGTTAGGAATTTGCCCAAGGCCATGCGACTAATCAGATCTGTACTAAGACCAGGGTTGGTCCAAAACCAAGCCCTTTACCACTATAAATCTGGAATATATGAAATTACTTTCCAAACCTCCATTGGCTTTTAATACTTGTATACACCCAAGCCATCAATCTCTGTAAAAGACAAATAGGCTTTATAATATCATTTTAAGACATTTCATTATGGTTTCCAACTAGAATTAGACATAACCAAAAATAATTTGACCATGAAAGGAACTAACTCATCGCTGATTGTAACTCTTAGGAATTGTGTTTGCATGCAAGTATCAGAGATAGGGTCTGTCCTCCACTGCCTTTTTTTCCCCCTTTGAGGTATAATTGACATGTACTACAATGCACATATCAGAAATGTTCAGTTTGATGAGTTTTGACAATTGAGTATACCAATGTAATCACCACATAAAACATGATATAGAACATTTTCATCACCTCAGAAACTTCTGTTAGGCCTCATTACAATCAGTTCTACTTTGTCAGATGCAACCACTTTTTGGTTTTTGTGATTTAGATAGGTTTTGCCTAATTTTGGATTTCATATAAATAGAGTAATGTAGTAGATACCTTTTATGTTTGCCTTCTTTTGCTCAAAATAATGTTTTTGATATTCATCCATGATTTTGTGTTTATCAGCAGTTTGATCCTTTTTGTTTTAAGTAATAGTTCATTATATGGACTTACTACACTTTGTAGATTCATTCTTCCATTGATGGACATTTGTAGTGTTATCCACCCTCTCCCTTTTTTTGCTATGATGAAGAATGCTGTTATGATCACTTGCATGTAAGTCTCTGTGTGGACAGATGGAGTTTTTATTTCTCTTGGATAGATACCTAGAATTGGAATTGCTGAATTGTATAAGTATAGTTTTAATTTTTTAAGAAACTATCAAATTATTTTCCGAAGCAGGGGTATCATTTTGCATTTACATCAGCAATGTGTAAGGGTTTTAGCTATTTAAAGTCCTTGCTAATATTTGGTGTAGTCAGTCTCCTTAATTTTAGCCACTCTAATAAGTGTGTATCTCATTATAACTAAATTTGCATTTCTTTAACAACAGATGTTGAGCATCTTTTCATGTATTTATTTGCTACTCTTACATCTTATTTTGTGAGGTGTCTTTTAAAATATTTTGCCCACTTTTAAAAATTAGATTATTTGTCTTCTTAACATTCTATTGTATATGCTCTTTATATATTCTGGATAAAAGTTATTCTGTCAAATATGTGTTTTGCAAATACTTTCACTCAGTCTGTGGATTGTATTTTTATTTTTCTAGCAATGTCTCTAGTCAAGCAAAAGTTTTTAGTTTGGACAAAGTTCAGTTTATCAATTTTTTATGTAATGGTTAGTTCATTTTTGCCCTAAGAAATCTTTGCATACCTTAATGTCACAAAGAGTCCTGCTGTGTTTTCTTCTAGAAGCTTTTTGTTTGAAGCTCTTACAATTATGACTATGACCTCAAAATAGTTCGTTGTATTTGAATGAGGAAAAAGGCCTAGGTTCACCCTTGTTTCCATGCAAATATTCAGCATTATTTGTTAAGCAAGATTTTCCTTTCCCCATTGAATCATCTTGATGCCTTTGAAAAATAGCAAAAGGCTGAATATGTGTGAGTCTAATTCTGGGCACTCTTTTCTGTTCCATTGATCCTTTGAATATAGTCATGTAACCATAACACCTTATAATCTTTATTACTGTAGCTTTATAAAAAGTCTTGAAATCTGGAGTGCAAGTCCAACTTTGTTGTTCTTCTGTTTTTGCTATTCTAGATCCTTTGCATTCCCATAGTAATTTTAGAATCAGCCTGTCAATTTCTTTTAAAAGTATGCTAAGATTTTGATTAGAATTGCAATGAAACCACACATCAATTTGAGCAGAATGGACATCTTAAAAATATTGAATATTGCCATTATTGCACATGACATATATTTCCATTCATTTAGATCTTGTCTCATTTCTCTCAACAGTGTTTTGTCATTTTCAGGGTAAAGAGCCTATGCATCCTTTGTTTGATTTGTTGCTATGGACTTTCGAATTCTGTTGTTAATGTTATTTTTTTCTAATTGTTTGTTGATAACATATAAAAATGCAGTTGATTTTGCATATTTACTTTGTATCCTGCAACCTTGATAAATGTTCTTATTAGTTCTATTCTGATTTTTTGTAGATTCCTTAGGATTTTCTATGTATATAATCGTGTCATCTGTGAATAACAACTTTCTCTCCAGTATTTGTTCCTCTTTTTTCTTTTGCTTGCCTTATCATGTTGGCTAGCATTTCTAGTACAATTTGAAATAGAAGTAGATAGAAATTGCTCTTTATCTTGCTTGTGATCTTAGGAGGAAAGTTTCAACATTTCACCATTAAGTATATTGTTAGCTAGTGGTTTTTTGGATTCCTTTGATCAGGTCAGGGAAGATTCTTTCTATGACATGTTCGGTAAGATTTTTTTAAAAATTACAAATAGATGATGAATTTTATTTCCTCAATTTAAAGAGTTTTTACAGAAAATTTACACAACTCCTTACACTGTGTCTCATTGGTCAAAACTTAGTAACATAGCCACAGCTAGCTGCAAAGGAAGGACATTGCTACTGCAAATAAAATCAAAGTTTTGTTAGTATAGATGAAAATAAAGAATGGATACTGAGTGGCATCCACCAGTTCCTGCAACACTGAAAAAACAGATTTCTATAGAGATATAATAAATTATATTTTCAAAAATGCTGTATAATAAATAGTAAGTTATGATTATTGTTATCAATTACTTAATTCACTTGTAAAGGGAAGTAAGCTTGGTGCTAATAGCCTCCTGTTTAATATAAAAGCATTTCTAATGTTTTTGGCCTTTTAAAAAAATCCAAGAATGTTGTACCAGCCTAAAATTTCTGTATATTATGTGTCTTTCTCCTGCAACAAGCTTCAGTGGGAAGTCTAGTGGAGC